CCGTGGGGATCCGCTCCCGCCTGTGCGGGGGGAACGCAGCTTCCCCAGGCGCTGCCCCGTCGGGGAGAGGCGAGGGCTGCCGGGACCCACGGCCCGGTGCTTCCCGCCCGAAGGAGCCGGGCCCCCCTCGCAGCGCTGCGGCTCGTCCCCTCAGGGCAGGGGGCAAAACGTCCGGGGCAGGCGCCCGGCGCGGCACCGCAGCCCTGGCTGCGCAGGGGGCTGCTGTCGCCCTGTGAGGGGCGGATAAACCTCTGCCTGCCAGGCCAACGTGTTCTACTGCAACGGCAGATTTCTCCTGCTGACTGAAGGAACAAAAGATACAGTTTATGTGCGTACGCAAAGGACAAAAAGCGGCATTCAGCCAGCGTCCACAATAGCGGAGAATGGGCCCAGTGTCTTGGCCAGACGCCCGCGCCCACACCTCCGTGGCGGCCCGGCTGCTGCCCTCTTTGTCCGCCCGGCACCGCGGAGGCAGAACAGCCGCCCGCTGAACCCTTCGGCGATGAGGAATCCTCATCCCGCTGCAAGGACTGACGAAGGGCGAGCGTTGATGTATTTGAAAAGGAGCCCTGCCGAGGCCTCGCGCCCAGGGCAGAAGAGCAGCGTGGTGGGTGGAAAGCGGAGCCCTCGCCTTCCTGAGGGTACATGAGGCAGGAGAGAATGGGACGGGGCGCTCAGGGAGGCCAGAGGCGTTCGGCAGCGTCCCCCTGACGTTCAGCTGCCGTGGGCCCTCGCAGACGTCGCGCTCTGTGGGATGGCGGAGCCAGGAGCTATCCAAAGCAAACACCGCAGCGGAGCAGCCAGCGCTGCCGAGCCAAGGCAGGGATTCCCTGCGATTCACAGCTTGCACCTGCATGCTTTTTAATAAGTTGTTTGGGTTTTTTTTTTTCCCAATAATTAGCGATGCACTGTAAAACATGTAGAATTAACCTAAATTGAACAGCCACAACTAGCTAATTCACATTAATTAATGGGAAATCCGCTGCGAATTTACAAGTGCGATCAAAGATAATTCCAAAAGCGAAGGTAATACTTCATTGAATGTCGTCTTCATGTTGGACCCGTTTCTGCAATCCCTTCATCGTAACAATTAAAATCACATTCTCAAAAACACTGAAATAAGATGCTTAGTCTCAGAGTTCAGTGAAAGTGAGTAAAAGAAGTAAAATCCGACCCCTGACAGTTATAATTTCTTCTTTGTAATGTACATCACAATGCACTAAACCCTTTGAAGACAGTTTGGATTAATCGTGAAGTTTTAATTGGATGCGATCTAATTACAGCTCCTGCCGAAGAATCTTCAGGGAAAATAGTAAATAAATTTGCCTTTTGTTTTGGTGTAAAATACATGGAGTCTTATCTTTCCAAATACAGATTTCTGAGATTCTGTTCTCCCTGGTTTTGTTTAATGTTTTAAATAACTTTTAAATTTTTGGATAGAAGGCACTTGTTTGTTAGAAGTGTTGCTTCTTGATTCCATTAAGTGAGGTTTTTTAAATATATATATATATATACACACACACACAACTTTTCACAAGAATATCATACCACTGTTAAAAAGTTTAAGGAATTTACAAAGCTCTAGGTAAAACTTCAGAAGGTTGTTCTGCAGTGCTGGAGTGTTTCATATTTTCTTTCAATATTTCAGTTTTCAAGTACACTGGCTCCATTTCATTAAACACGGAAGTTCAGTAATATGCTTAACCTTGCTTGAGGGCCCTTTCTGTGAAAATTTTATAGACCCAAAGGTAAGCATCGAAGGAGGCAAGATGGGACTTACCTGGTGTAATGATGCAGGCTGCCCAACTGCAATCACCTATTGATTTAGAAGATTAGCTCTATTACTGGAAATCAGAGTACAGCTGGAGACATGCTGACCTACTACAATAGGAATCGGTGTCCTAGTGAATTTAGTGGTTGCTTAAAAGCTCTTCTAAGTACAGCTGTTCTCCCTCAGGACTGAAACTATTGACAAAGCATAGGAGTGAGAAAAATCTTGAGGAAGATATTACTGTCTTCAGCTCCAGTATAACGTAAAAAATCAGTTTTTCTTAAAAGCTGGAAATTTTCAAGTTAAGAGTGTTGTTACAATCAAGACATCACTAAAATCCTTTTAGACTCTGTGCATTTCATACAGCTCATTCTCTGGCAAGAAATAGTACACGAGATGAACAGAAGCAAATGGTCCTTTTCTTACTGCGTGGTGAATAGAAGCAAACAGCCCAGACGGAGTTCGCTGAAAAAACACTAACAGGGCATTCACGAGATGAATACAACCATCTCATGCCCCCTTTGTCAAGAGAGATCAGATGCACTGGTGTGGAAGATAGTAACAACCCCTGAACTTGTTTTATAATGTAGGAGTGAATCTCAATGTTGACAAAATAAAGCAGTGTTTTAGCTGTCACCACTCCTCCCGTCAAGGTCACAGAAGAACCAGTGCACATAGCGTATCTAAAAACAAGCAGAAAATTAAATTTGAAGGGATATTTTTAAACTATATATTTAACAAGGTTAACCTGTGCCAGATGAAACCCATCAGCTACCTATAATTAACCATCAACGCATCAGCTATATTGATTGACCTTAACTCGAGATAGCAGTCCTTGCCTGAAGTCTTTGTAAGTGTATGCATACAGAGCTGGGAGAGAACGGGAGGGAAATGGGACTGTAAAATAAATAGAATCTGGTTATTCTGTACTTGGCAATTCCCTTGACAAAGACAGCACGTTCCTCTGCGCAGCGTCCTTTTCCCACGTGCTCCTTGCAGGAATGTGAAACCTTGCAGGCCGCCACACAGGGAGAAATCGCTTAAGGAGCCAATGTTTCTGGAAAGTTAGCTATGCAATGGAAAAGTGAGTCATTGTTTTATGGGAGACGTTGGGTGAATCAGCATTCATGAAGAGGGTGTTACCCCCGTGCAATGAAGGGCGTATCCACACATGCTGCTGGACTCTCGGACTGTATATCCACAAGAAAAGTGAATATAACTTCAATCTTAAAAGTAGCGTGGAATGCATAAAACCATGAAAAATTCAAGACAGCCTGAGCAACTGTTTGTACCAGATAACACACATTTGGAAATAACATATGATGTGAATTCTCAAAACAAAGACACTTTTAAGTGAAATTACAATGACGATACGGTAGTGTAGTTTACGAGATCGTTCTGGAATGCGTAACAAGAAAGCACACTTCTAAAGCTAAGATTGTGTGTGAGGACTAGGGAGATTTATGAGCAAATAATGTTTCCAATGGACTTCCCATGTGACCTTAATCAAGCCATTCTGCATTCGTATGCTCCTAAAGCTTATCGACAAATGTGTTAATAAATGCCTATTTTTAGGACAGAGCTGTACATCACCCAGCGTACTGAGATGATTTTGCCCACTTTTGTCCAAGATGGAAGCAATTTACAGCCTGAATGATCCTGCAGATTCCTGGCTTACAATATCATCAGCCTGTGAGTTTCACACAATTATTAGTATTAGAAAAGCCATCTACTGTAACCTTAGCTCAACGGAAAAAATGTTATGGAAACTAATGGCTAGATGTGATGGGAAGATAATTTTGAAATATTAGGAGGTAAGTCCCATTTAATGTCATCTACGAAATCTACTCTCTGATCCCGCTTCAAGTTGCAAAGATGTTATCTATTGTAGCGTGGAAAACAATCTTCGGATAGCTGTGCTGATAACAGGACTGAACAGTAACTAATTCCAAACCATAATTATTATACATTTTGAAATGATAATGGTAGTCATCAAATAACGGGCCATCTTTAATACCATTGCAAAATGCTAGCAATGTGGAGCGACTGTGTGACCTTAGGTGTTCAAGTTCAAGGTAGTACCAGTCCTGACTTCTGGACACTGCTTGTTTGATGTTTCCGAACTTATATCCCATGGGCGTATCTCTGTAATGGACCATCTCAAAGGGGAAACCACACAATCTTAATCTCTTAAGATCCCCTCAGGAAAGGTTTACCTAAGCAAGATCTAGTGTGAATCTTTTTTTATTTCGAGACTGAGCTGAAACCAGGATGAACTGACAGCATGACAGAGAGGAGCACACGAGAGCTTATAAATAGAGTCCTGAAAAGATGATTTGATTTCCATTCTTTGGAATGTTATAGCTATTCAGAGATAGCGCAAAGCAATCTCTGGTAAATTGCCCATGATTGAAGCAAACAGTAACTTTGGAATGGAACAGAGCTCTCTGGTCCCTAGTAGGCTGAAACTCTCTATAAAAGTTCTGAATAAGGGATGAAGGACTTTTTCTTTTGTTGTAACACGTTCCTGATTTCCTTGTAAAATAGGGACAGGTGGTAACAAAATCTTCCATCTCCAAATATTTCTTGTGCCATTAAAGACTACCCATGGAGGAAACAAGGCTTTCCATCCCTGGCTCATCTTTAAATGTCTTTTTACATCGCTAAGTCCCAATAAGATTTCATTCTCCAAGTCTTGTTTAATGGAAGGGGATTCTTTTGTTCATGTACTTTTTCGTGTTTTCCCAGTCCCCCAGTGGCGCACCTGCCACGGCAGATATTGTGCCTTCTTCTTAATATACGTTTCAGATATCTTCATCTTCTTCTCTGAACAACTGGAGATAAAAGAGTGTTGAACACTGCTGTAAGCTTCGGCATTTGTTATAAATTGGTTCCATTTGAAATACAGTCCTTCCCAATGGCCTTTATTTTCAGAAGTATTTAGACATCTGTCTGTAAGACCAAACTACAAATCATGAAATTGAATCTTACTGGGAATGAGCTCTACAAAATTTTTACGTAACACTTAGTGGAGTGGGGGTCCAATCCTTCTTCCCTTCCTTTCTTCATTGTCTTTTGTCTTTCGCTACTCAGAGTTCTTATATTTTTCACAAAGCTTTTCCTGCATGCAGAGTGCTGAAGAGGGTCAAAATAGGTTTTTAATTCTGTTCTGTCTTCATATAATACTCAAAACAAACAACAGATATAAAAAATGGGAACAAGTAAATTCTTGGATTAGTGAAATTACTCTAAATCCATTTCTACAGTAATTCATCTTTCATTGTTAAACCACATTTAAATCTCTAAGTATGTGTGATATAAAATATTAATCCTATGTTAACATGTTCCCTGTATTACAAACAAAAATTCCAAACAAAACTAACAAGCAAACCTTGTAATTTACGATTTATTTATTTATATTATCAGTACTAAAAATGGCGATGGAGCTCACATAGAAGCTATAAAACCGTGAGCTGTTTGAGTCAAAATAACTAGCCACACCTTGTAAGGCGAACAAGACAACTAAGAAACCTGAAAATAAAACTACCTGTGAAAAACAATGTAGGGAGTAAACATCCAAAATGAAGCATGTCTTTACATGTTCCCGACTATGCTAACATAATGAGAATAAAGCACTAAAAATGTTCAAAGCAGTGAGCAGGGATTTTTAACTACATCAGTCCCTCTACAAGAGTAGTCCCTCTGGCATCATAAAGAGTACTCACTTGAGTATGGCTGACAGGAATGAGATCAGAACACTAAAAAAAAAAAAGAAAAAAGGACACAACTATGGTAAAAATATTTAGTAAATATAAAATAAATAGCTTTTAAGTTGTGGGTTTTCTGTTGCTTCAACCAGATCTGGATAGG